TGCGCGCTGCGCGCTGCGCGCTATGCGCGACGATGCGCGCCGTGTGCGTCCGCGTGCGTAGCTATGCGCACGGCATGGGTGCATGAGTACGTGCATGGTGTACTTTGTGCGTTTGTGCCTCAACTTGATTTTTAACCTTGAACTTAGATACATTCTCAATAATTAATCCCGATTAATAATGTCTGTTTAAAAAAATAAACAGTTCGGAAATTAATTACCGAATTTAACTCGGTTAATAATTAACCGGATAAACCTTTTCGACTTAACGTCGAACGTATTCGCTGAAAATGAACGGAATCGATAAAAGATAATACATCTTGTTAACAAAGAGTTGGGTTATTACATGGCGTGTTCGAAAACAAGTCTTTCTGGAGACGTTGCTTACATTTTCGTAATTGCCCCTATTTACACTTATTTCCTCGACTTTCTTAAACGTGTACCATTTTTCTTCAAAACACGATGGGGCGATAAATATATGTTATCCACATCAAATAATGATGTCGTGCTCGAAAACAAGTCTTTCCGGAGACGTTACCTACATTTTCGTACTTGCCGCTATTTACCCTTATTTTTCTCGACTTTCTTAAACGTGTACCATTTTGCTTCGAAATACGATGGGGCGATAAATATATGTTATCCACATCAAATAATTGTGTCGTGTTCGAAAACAAGTCTTTCCAGAGACGTTGCTTACATTTTCGTAGTTGCCCCTATTTACCCTTATTTTCCTCGACTTTCTTAAACGTGTACCATTTTGCTTCAACATACGATAGGGCGATAAATATATGATATCCACATCAAATAATAGTGGCGTGTTCGAAAACAAGTCTTTCTGGAGATGTTGCTTACATTTTCGTACTTTCCCCTATTTACACTTATTTCCTCGACTTTCTTAAACGTGTACCATTTTTCTTCAAAACACGATGGGGCGATAAATATATGTTATCCACATCAAATAATGGTGTCATGTTCGAAAACAATTTTTTCCGGACACGTTGCCTACATTTTCGTACTTGCCCATATTTACCCTTATTTTCCTTGACTTTCTTAAACGTGTACCATTTTGTTTCAAAAAACGATGGGTTGATAAATATATGTTATCCACATCAAATAATGGTGTCGTGTTCGAAAAAGAAGTCTTTCTAGAGACGTTGATTACATTTTCGTACTTGCCCCTATTTACCCTTATTTTCCTCGACTTTCTTAAACGTGTACCATTTTGCTTCAAAATACGATGGGGGAGATAAATATATGTTATCCACATCAAATAATGGTGCGGTGTTCGAAAACAAGTCTTTCTGGAGACATTGCTTACATTTTCGTACTTGCCCCTATTTACCCTTATTTTTCTCGACTTTCTTAAACGTGTACCATTTTGCTTCGAAATACGATGGGGCGATAAATATATGTTATCCACATCAAATAATGGTGCCGCGTTCGAAAACAAGTCTTTCTACAGACGTTGCTTACATTTTCCTACTTGCCCCTATTTACCCTTATTTTCTTCGACTTTCTTAAACGTGTACCATTTTACTTCAAAATACGATGGGGCAATAAATACATGTTATCCACATCAAATAATGGTGTCGTGTTCGAAAACAAGTCTTTCCGGAGACGTTGCTTAAATTTTTGTACTCTCCCCTATTTACCATTATTTTCCTCGACTTTCTTAAACGTGTAC